CCCGTCCCGCCTCTGCCTCGGCCGCTGCCCCGACCCCAGCCGGTCCTGGCCTCGCCCTTCCTGGCTAAACGGGACTCGCCGCGGCGGCGCACCCCGGAGCGAGCCTCGCCCAAGAAGGAAAGCCCCGACGGAGCTCCGGACTCGTCCCAGCAGCGCCCGCCCAACTACTGCTTCACGGCCGAGGAGCTCCACGCGGTCCTCTACGGAGCCGGCGCCGGCGCCAGGCAGCCGCTCGCCCTGTCAGGAGCCGGACCGCCTTCTGGCAATCCCGGTAAGGCAGACCCTGTCCCCGGACTCCCCCTCCAGGTGGCGGGAGAGCGGGTGGCGGCGCCGGCTTGGAGCATGCGCCTCGCCTCCCAGGTCTAGCTAGCTCATCTGGACTTGGAGAAGTTATTTCCAGGAATCTCTGTCCTCGGAGAGAGGGGGGGGAGCAGAGATCGGTGCACTTTCGCGCAAAAATCAAGGCAGGGGTGTCCAGCGCGCTTTACTTGTTGGCCACTGAACCGACGAGGGCTGCAGATTCTCTGCGAAGTCGGGGTGCAGTTTTTGGGTTTTGTTTTTTTTGCATGCTTCCCTGGGGTGTTGGATAGCTTTGTCCATGGGACTCTAATTTGCCTTTTTGTAACTGCATGGTAATTCTGTTTCCATTTACTAATCCGGCAAGAGCATCCGTCTCCTCGATTTACTGTTATTTGTAAAAAAAAAACTTGCACAAAGACTGAAAATGGTTAGACCAATACCTGGAAAAAAATCTAATAACTCTTTTTAAAGAGTTTCAACAGAACTCTTCCCGGCAAAAATATTTTTTTAAAAAATAGGTAGTGAAGAAGTGGTTTGAAAGAAAGAAAACCAAGGTATCTTAGTTCAATAAATACGTTAACAACAACAACAAAAAACACACCACACCACACGTACAGTAATTATAGGCAAATTGAAAATGTGTTTTTATTTCATTAAAAAAGGGAGTGATCATACCTGTAACTATGACTTCTTTCTAACCAAAGCTTTTCGATCTAGCAACGTCTTTATGCCATGTGAATGTCTTTATTCATACGTTTCAAAGTGTTTTTAAAGCAGAACTAGTGTAACATGGTGTTCAGCTAACTAATACTTGAGAAGAAGTATTCCTATACAGATGTACTCAAAAGTCAGTTCTGTTGAGTTCTTGGGAAGATGCTGCCAGGTAAATGGGAGCAGGGTTGCAGCCAAACCCTTCTGGGGTCAGAAATCTCCATGTACTTCTAGCTCCATCCATCACCTTCTCTCACTATTCGTTTCTCCACCCAAGGAAAGGGCCAAAAGGGTCCTCCTTTGCAGCAAGAACCCAGGCATTATGTCCAAGAGACACTTTCGGAAACGTCAGAGAATCCTGCGCTTACAAGGCGCCTTTCGCTCTTAAATCCACTGCACTCATTAACATCCTAAATTAAAAATAAAGGAAATTCTCCATCTGGAGGCTGGAGAGCATCTCGGCTATTTTGACTTTCCATGTGGCAACTTGAAACAATTATTGTGTTGCATCCAAACCTGTCTCCGATGAATTTCAATCAAGAGCCTTTCCCGTTTATTGCATCTAACTTTGCCCAAGCAGCTGCAACAATGTTTACTTTTCAGTTGTCATGAACGTGACCGAAGTATTCCGACTTACTGCATTTTATGTATTTAATGATTTCCTGGTCTTTATTCATTCCCTTTATTGCACTTCTTCATTGGCCACTCTCTTGTTCCAAAAATTCTTAGCATCCGTTGATATATCCAAAATTCAAGTATTTTTTTTCGAGACCTGTTCGAGTTAAAAGTTCAGGGTTGAGCCTAGAACAGGGAGTATGCAGCTAGCTGAAGGGTTGAAGTGTGGACCGAGTGATCGCATCATCATATGTTGTTGCACAGTTGTTTTAACCTTGTCCTGGTTGTGAAGGGAAGCGTGCACAAAGTTACTGTATTTCAGACTGATTGCTAGAACGTAGGAGGGTTTGAAGTCACGTATACTTCTCTTTGCCTTAGTCTTCTGCTCTTCTAGACCATGTTCTTGAGAGTAAACCCAATTGAATTCCACAGGGCTTGCTTCTGAGTAGACACACGGTCCTTTTTTTCTATTCTTTTTTTGCTAAACCGGTCTTCCACTTCGCGTTCTCCTTAGGAGCTGTGGACAGTCACTCCCTGATGCTGGACAAATCTGCTTTGCAACTCCCAGAAGGTAGTTCTGCTTTTGGGGGGTTTTGGGGGGGGGAGGGAGAAAGGTAGCTACGTTTATCTTTGAATCCCTTCCTTTTGCGCTCCCTCTGCTCTCCTGTGCCCGCAGGGCTCACGGTGTTGCAGACGAGGTACCTGGACGGACTGCAACTGGGCGTTTTCTGTACCAAGACCATCGCGAGGGGGGCTCGGTTCGGCCCTTTCAAGGGCAAAGTGGTCAACACCAGCGAGATCAAGACCTACGACGACAATTCCTTGATGTGGGAGGTGCGCGCAACCCGCTTCTCCTGCCCTGGGACACCCGGGAACCTCCGCCGGGGGCGCTTCGGGTCTCGTAGTAGAAGCGGGGGGGGGGAAACAATCAACCGGCCTCCAAACGCCCGCATTGTGAACCGGGGGAGGGGGCGACCTGCCACACCAGACAACTCTCTCTGAAGACCCGCCCGTCACCGCGTTTAGTTCCGTTTATTTTCATGGGAAGTCGCTCCCATGAAACTGTACACAGGATCTCAGCCTGGCGCGGCACTGAGGAAAAGATGCCCAGGTCACAGGTTCTGGCCACTATGTGCCGTCCCGCCTGCTGAAAAGCGCTTGGTTCTCGCGCTCAGTTGTCTGAGGACACAGAACGGACGGCACCTAATGATTGTCAGAACTTTAGAGCTGGAAGGGGCCACAAAGGTTGTCTCGTCCGGTCCTGTTTTAATACAAGAAACCACGGCTAAATCATCCCTGTAGGGCAGGACAGAGTGCAAAAGGTTTGCTATCCCGATTGGCCGCAGCCGCCCCCACCTCTGCGCCCTCTGATTTTATGCCAAGCCAGCTGAGAGAGAAAGAGAGAGAGGGAGGGAGGGAGGTGCGTGTATCGTGTTTCCAGGAGAGGAAGCGTGTCCGGCATTAATTGAGAGAAAAAGGCTGGAGGGGAGAATCGCTCCCTCCAGAATTTTCTTCCTGCAGGCTTGCTTGGCTCTCTGTGCGGTTCTGATCTAGTCCCTCCATCTGGCCCTGAGCAAATATCAAAAATGTCCCCTCTTTCTCTTGGCCCCCCCTCCAAACCTAAGCTTCTAGGCGACACAGAACTCTAGCAAAAATATAGAAATAAATAAAAGGAAAAAAGCTAAGCCCGGGTAATATCTGGCAATTAGAAGACGGCCGGGCGGGGGTCACAAAAAAACGGAGTGGAAGAGCACAGTCCTACCGGGATTTGCCTGGAAGTGCGCCTTTATTTTCAGTATAACCTCGTTTACTCTTTCGTGTGCGTAGAATTAGGGCGAAATGCAGCTTGTCCCTAATTGGCAGGGGCACAGAGGGAGTAACCGAGAGGATCCTCCTCGCTGCTCCCCTCCCAAACGCTTGTGTTCCCTCCCCCCGCGCGCAGATCTTCGAGGATGGCCGCCTGAGCCACTTCATCGACGGCAGAGGCTCCTCCGGCAACTGGATGTCCCTGGTGAACTGCGCCCGCTTCCCGGAGGAGCAGAACTTGATCGCCATCCAGTGTCAGGACAAGATCTACTACGAGAGCTGCAAAGAGATCCCGCCGGGCCAAGAGCTGCTCGTCTGGTACGGGGACGGCTACCTCCAATTCCTGGGCATCCCCATCAGCCTGAAGGGGACGCCGGAAGCCAAGCGCGCCCAGCAGCACAGCGAAGGTCAGTTCGCCCCCGGAACGCTTAGCAAGGGGATAAGTAAGCGGGGAGGGGGGGGCTTTACTTTTGGAGGAGAAGGGAAAGGAGATGGGATTTCCACCTGGGTGTTCCAGTTTAGCTTTGCTATCAAAGCACCTCCCTGCTGGCCCAGCTAAGTTTACCCGATAATAACAGAAACCTCCAGGTGCTTTAAAACGAGTGACCAGATCTTTCCAAGGGCAGCCCCAGGCTAGGCTTTTTGCTGTGTCAAAAGTTTGAGGCTTTTAAAGCATGATCTAATGTTGCTTAAGTTGGCTGAATAGCTCAGTGTAGGCTTAAGTATCTAGCTACGGAGCCAGAGATGTGGGAGTTCAATCCTCCCCAATGCCTCCTAGGAGTCGAGCCAGTCTGCTTGGCCTTAGACTGAATTTATTACCGTCGGGTGACCAGCTCATAAACCGTATTTACGGCTAAAATATACAAAATGCAGTTTAAAAATATACAACCAATTCATAAAACATATTGTGTGGCTGAAATATACAAAATGCAATTTATAAAGTGTACAGCCAGTTCATAAAACATATTATATGGTTAAAATATACAAAATGTAATTTAAAAAGTGTACAACAAATAATTGTGTACTGGTTGTAAAATATGGGGAGAATCAAATACAGCATTTTTATAGCTATCTTTTGAACCATTGGATTGTCTAGGGCAATCTGGTTTCGACAGGGTCTTTGGGTTATAGGGAGTCCTTCCTACATATTTGCAAAGATCTGTAAATATTTCCTCCCTTCAGTTGGGACCACAACATTTCTCTATGCTCGACAATAGGTTTGGGACCTTCCCAGAAGAAGGGAATAGTAAACTGCTTCTATGTATTATCTATCTGGAAAACCCTGGAAAGGGTTGCCATGCATCAGAATTAATTTGATGCCACATTATTAATATAATAATAATAATAATAATAATAATAATAATAATAATAATAATAATAATAATAATAATAATAATAATAATAATAATAATA